TCGGCGCCAGGAAAGTTGTTTGGCCAGTTTTTTTCCATGTATCCCACGCACTTGAAACTCGAATGAATTTTGGTATGGTAGTACTGGCTTGTGTACCGAATTTCATCAGGTTCGCCACTCAACTCCTTGGTTGTGCGTTTTTTTGGCGAAATCCGGAGATTCCACGCTAGCCTGTCATAATATTAGTACCCATGGAAGACTTTCATCAACACGGAAATATTGAGTCTTATCCTTAACAATAAGGGTATTTTGTCGCTTTATTCTGTATGGGATCCCCAACATAGGATTTAAAAAAAGTTGGATTCAAAGAGATCATGTAAAATACAACCTTTAAATTTAATAAGAAATGTTGATGAATTTGGAAGCTATCATCATTTCTCCATTGGCTAAACCGTCAAATCTCTGAAATAAGAACCTTCGAATACGTTCATTTGTGGCAGAATTTTATGGGCTTCGAGCCATTGCGCATTACTGTAAACTTTCTATGCGCAAGCAAAGAACGGGAAGGTCCTCACCATCCTTCCACAGACTGGTACAATGCCATCCGTTGGTCTGAAGGTCACCGTCGCATCGTTCAGTGGCCCATAGTGTGATGTTCCGTCCGCACTGGTCCTCGTCGTCGCAACGGTAGCATTCTAGTTTTCCTTCCTCGACATTTTTGTTTCCTTCGTCGTTGCAGAGGTCTTCCTTGCAGAAACAGTCTGTCACGTGTTCATCTCGTAACACGCATTCTTCTCCTGTCCAAGATCTACAGCCGGCATCCTGAAGCACTTCTAGAAATGGAAGAGGGCGGGTCGAGTTGAAACAGCTGCGATATTGTACAGATCAAGTTTGGCTATCGTTTCGCTAACGCGGCAGCTTATAGTGCTAAGCAAGCTTGCAACTGTAAACCTCAGGTTTACAGTGACCCAGGTTACACTGTTTTGCCTCTTCAAGTTGACGGGTGTTTCAATTTAATTTCAATTGATTAAATCATTTCCACAGCCGCCAAAGGCTTAGGCTGCATACCATCATATACACAAGGCAACATAATACGTTACAATAGGTATGCATGTTTAGAAACATAACTTGCTGATTATACTCACTAATTATACCCCGCAGTTCTTACAATGCCTTTCTTTCTCATGCGTAGGATCTGGGACATAAAACTCTCTAGGGCTACCAATTCCTCTTTATCAGGTGACAGGTGTAAGGTACGCAACCAATGTTCAACTAGTCGACGCGTCTATTTGGAATAGAGTTTTTGATTAGGCCGAGTTAAAATGTCCGGGCAATGTCCCGTGAATGTTCGATGAATCGAGTACTGTTTTCTAGTCACTTCCAAGCTGTTAGTTGAGGACTCTCTACCGTTTAAGAGAAAGTTTGCAACCGGATCGACCTGTATTACTTTGTAGTTTTAACACCGCTCTATTTTGTACAACCGTCAATCACGCCTCATTTTTCTACGAGCCTTTTATAACTTTCTTATACGAGGCGTTACACCCTCTTGGAAGAAAACGGTAGAACAATTGACTTCGAGGGATGCAGCGATTCTCAAGTCAAGTGTTCTGCCGCTTGTGATAAAGCGCTGATCGAACCCGGTATTGGTCACACGAGCATATCCGAATCGCCGCGCGACTCCCTGTTGCGTTACACCTTGCTTGCTGCGTTAGCCTTGGCATATCTTCGTTGTTTTTCGGCGACGGTATGACATGCTCAATGGAATCAACCCATTCTTTGCCTGTGGAAATCTGATCTTTCACGTATGGCGCGGAGAAAATCTTAGTAGGCATATTCCTGACGTGACACGTACACAGCGCTCAAAGGTTGGCTTGTAAACGCTGATAAGGTTCAGTCGGTGTTGACTCGTCCGGCAAGGAGCAGATATAATTCCGTCACAAATCCAGCTACGACGGCGAGCCCTAA